ACCTGGAATTTACGGGTCTCCCGCGGCTGGCTCCCAATCGCTGTGCTACCATCTGGATTCAATTTGATGGGAAACCCCCCTTTTTCGACCAGGGTGCCGTACGCGGTGGGAGTATAAAACGCAGGAATGCCGGCTCCCCCTGCACGGAGCCTCTCAGCCAGCGAGCCTTGGGGTGTGAGTTCCACCTAAGAAAGGGAGAGAGGGATGGAGGAAAGGAAGGAGGGTGGATCGATGGGGAGAATGGAGGGAGCCTTGTGGTAGACAGAGAGGGGAGGGGAAGGGAATAAAAAAGACGATTGGGTGCTCCGGGGAGCGATTGATGGGGTAATAGACGGGAAAATGGGACAGCGAGGGAAGAACAGGTAAGAAAATGAGAGGGACAGGATGGAATGAAAGGGAAAGGGAAAAGCTTTGTCTTCTCTCTCCTCCCGGATAACATGAATGTGTGTCTATCTCTGCATCCAGCATGTCCTGGCTCCGTCTCCTCTTCCCTGCCCGTCCTCCTCCCACTTGCCCGGACCTCCGAAACACCACGTCCGAATATGCCTCGTTCTTCCCCGTGTCTCTTTCCTCTGTGCATCCTACCTCTAATTCCCCCGATAAATATTGGCGCTCGAATTCCTTGTTCTCTCCCACGTAAGACGAGATCATCCTCTTTACTTGTTTCGACCGAAGCAACAGCCCCAAGCCAAAATTGTCCACGCCTGTGGCGAGATAGGGGGGCACCATGGAGAAAGGGAGAAGGGTAGGGTAGATCGGAAGGTGAAGGGTGGAAATTGCAAGGAAGAGTGGCAGGTGGCAGACGTAGGGAGAAAGCAGGGAGGGAGGGAGGGAGGGAACGAGAGAGGACGCACGCCAGAAAAAGAGGCCCAGAGCAGAAGGGAACGGAGGAGGGGGATTCGTGGAAAAGAGCAAGACTCATTACAAGGGTTTTCCATAGGAGGAAAGCTGCAGCAAACCGATGAATCGTGTGTGGAAGGGGGAGAGAGCAGGATAACGGCAAGGATACAGGCCGACGGACGCACCGGCATTGTTGGAGACGCACGTCAGGTCTTTCGTGCCCTTCTGGACGAGTGCGGCGATTAAATTCTCCGGGATACCACACAATCCAAAGCCTCCCACGCAAAGCTTGCTTCCTGCGTGCATGGTGGATAATACAGGAAGGACCGTGGGGTGGAGGTTACAAAGCGCGTGTTGTCGCGTGTACCTGGGACCTTCGCGAAACTTTTCACGGGGCACATATCTTTGAGGTTGTGTCCCTAATTCATCGTCTACTACCATGCTTATCTGTTCCGCCTAAAATTATCTAAGCGTTTGAGACGCTTGGTACCCATCCGCTTCCACCCTCCCTCTCTTTCTTCCAAAAAATCTGCGCTCCATGCTTTTCGGTTGCACTTTTTCTTCCTCACTTCCGTCCAATTTTGAGGACTTGTATAATTGATATTTTTTACATGCTTACCGTCTTTGATGTCTTGAATTGCTTCAGCGGCAGACTCGTACACTTTATTCGCCAAAGCGCGCTTGGTGGTCATGTACAGGCATGTCACAGGTCGACGGCCTCGACGGAGGATAGGACAAGTGACGAAAGGAAACATCTCGTCCTGTGCTAATTCAATATGTGTATCGACGCAAAAAAGTGTTGAAGCATGAAAATTCATGACATGCAGAACAAAAAGGGAAAGCGACACCAAGTTCCAGACGAGCCGTTGGTGGACTGCTCGTTCGCTCCCGGCCCATATGGAAGCCTCTGAAGGTACGCACACACGACTCTTTCTTCGTGTTGTTAGGGAGCTGCCAGGGTCAATGAAGCTGCATACACTAAAAACGAACAGGTGTCCGTCACAATTGACACGAACGGGCGTGACGTCGCAAAAAAGGCAGGAGGCAGGCATGCTGATTTTCCGGTGAAAAAGCGGGCTGCGGGAGAGCGATGCACGGACGTCATCGCTGACGTGGTTGGGTCGAACCCCGTGTGCTTTCAGTCAGAGGATTGGATGCTACTTAAGACACCAATTGCGCATAGCTACCTGATTAATTCGGTGACAAGTTCCCAAGAGACATGGTTAATGGCGTGGAAGTCATGACAATCTTTTTCGACCACTATTCTGACCAATCTCATGCTCTCTGTTCAAAACACACCTCCTGATCATTCCAGTCAAACTTTGAACAAGAACAATGCGTATTATTTCCGTCCTAGCCCTCTCTCTGGTGATGGCCGCTCAGGCCTTCATGCCCTCGAATGGACCGTCAATGGGTCGCTCTCGAGGCGTGATGAACATGCTCAAGGTATGTTGGAGTGATAAGTTACGCGTGAAGGTTGTCGTCTGACGTGAATCAGTGACCGAAATAGTGAATTGCATCCCGTGATAGAGGCGAAATGATGGTAGAAAAGCTTTACATGAGTGTTTTGAAAACACGCTCGTCTATCTGCTGTTCTGGCGTTACCCTTGTCCAGAAATTCAGACATCTAATGCGAGAGGCTTACCGAGCGTGGAAACTATCATCATCATCATTATCATTGCCATCACCAACACTCGTTATAAGCATATGATCATCATAAACATTATGACGGAGGAAAATTCTCTCACCATAATAGTTTTTCCTTGATTAGGTGGGCGACGCAGCGCCTGACTTCGCCCTCAAGGACCAGAACAACAAGGTAGTGAAGCTATCCACTTTCAAGGGAAAGAAGGAGGTTGTCCTTTTCTTCTACCCCAAAGACGACACACCCGGGTGCACAAAAGGTGAGTAGACACATCCAGACGAGGGGGTAACCTGGGCAGAGGAGAGGGGTAAAGAAGACGGATGCCTGGAGGCGGGATGGTAGGGTCCAGTGGTGTGTGGGTTCACTCTCGTGATCCCCGTGGAGCACGTCCTGTCAGTGGAGGCTACTGTTCTGAGAAAAATAACGGTGGACAGTGCGCTGATCTTCCGAGTGAGGGAGCGGGAAACGAGGTGGATGAGGATGTCCTTTGTCCTGTCAGTCTGAAGAGACAATGAGCCCATGGAAATAATTTCATGGGATCAGTGGATCCAATTTGAGAAGGTTATTGACCACTTGCTACTATCCACAGAGGCGAAGGCTTTTAGCGCTGCCCTGGGCGACTTCAAGAAGAAGGGGGCCGAGGTCTTCGGGATTTCCAGTGTACGTGCTCCTCAAGTCAGATCAAAGAGCGTTTGAGTGGTCGTGTGCCGGAGCGTGGGACTAGAAAGGCCTTGACAAGGCATTTTTCCTCCCACAGGTTTTATCTTTTTACCTCCCTCCGCAGGGATGAAATCAGCCCACTCCTCCCCTCTCCACCCCTCTTTATGTTCTCTCCCCGCTTGCAATTTCCCCTCTTCTAGGACGAGGATCACACCGCCTTTGTCGACAAGTACGGTCTGCAGATGCAGTTACTCTCCGACGTGGGGGGAGCCACGCGCAAGGCTTACCAAGTTCCTTCCTCCCTCTTCGGCGCCTTGGATGGCCGTGTCACCTACGTGATTGGGAAGGACCAGAAGATCCGTCTCATCTACGACAACCAGTTTGCCCCTGAGAGCCACGTGGAAAAATCCCTTGGAACCCTGGCTTAAGGTGTCTTCAAGGACACGGGAATTGACGCAGCCCGGCGAAGCGGGGTTCCGGCAAGTCAAGTCAAGCAGCCAAAAAGAGGGATAAATGAGATACAGAGCGTAGGAGAGAAGAAGAATGATGGCATCCAGGGGGCTCATCGGCTGGTGTGTCAGTGGAACGAAATCCTTCCTTCCCTTTCAAATTACACGGCACACGTGAATAACCTCGAGTCCGTGCACTTGAATGACACCACCTCCTTTTCTTAGTTGTCTCTGATGCTGTCTTCCCTCGTCTCTTTGGACTCTTGGCGGTTCCATCCTCCTATATATCACACATCCACATGTCCTTCCGCTATCACCTCTTATGTTGGAGCCGGTGAACTGCCCTCCATCCTCCTCCATCTGCCATTTACTCAAACTTATTCGTCACTCATACATCCACTTATCCTCGTCCAATGATGCCGCCAGTTTCTTGAGCGTTGCGCAGACATCGGTCACGGTACTATGATCCCAGGACGCATGCATAGCCTGATCGCTCTCCTCGTCCTTCGCCAGAGCCACCCAAGCATCCGTTTTGTCCTGTGAGCTATTTTCATCAGACCACGGGCACTGCTGATTCGTTTCCTGTCCATCGGGGCTCTCCTCCATTCTATCTCTTCTTTCCGCAACATCTCGCCGTATCCGTTGTGCGGGCGAAGCGGACGGGTTCAGTCGTTGATACGTTGTTCTTATTCTTCTAGCAGTCAAAGACTCTGCGCTAGCTCCACGTAAGACAGGGGTGGTAAGAGTTGAAGTCTGTGATACACTTTCAATCGCTACGTTGCCAGGTACATTTGCATAACCCCCGGGAAGTGACGCAGGATTGGAATGAGCTCCCCTTGTTCTTGGGGTCGGAACGCCACGATTTGAAACAGCAGAGGCGGGAACAGGCACGCGCGCAGCAGAAGATGAGGACCGTCTATTTACACTCATAATATTTGATGGTAACACGTGCTGTGTTGCATGGAAGATAGATTGATGGTTTGGGATTAAACTTATACGAAGACGTTGTGGATGAAGAGTGTTGAGGCATTACTATATTCTTCGAAGAGTGAGTTGAAATTTACAATCAACCAGTACCCAAACTCGCGTACATACAAAGAAGCATAGTACCTTGGACAACAGAAGACGCGACGAATTTCACGGTATTGGTCGACGTGTAGGGACCTGGGAACCAGGAACAAACGTTCCCAACTTCAAGCGACGGTCAGGTAGATAAGAGACTTCGGGCTGCAGTCACACGCAAACTTCTCGCGAGGTGCCCTGTCATGAGACACGCGCAGCTATGACAAAGTCATCACCATCACAGAAATGATACGATCGATGAACGCTTGGAGTCACATGAGGGTTCTATGTGTAAGCCACCTCTTCATACCCCTTTATGACCTCCTCCCAATTCATGAACACATATCGTACGGGCTTTACGCACAGTGGGCGTCAAAAATAAACAAAAAAGGGTGGGCTGCCCAAGGATGTCATAAATGCAGTCTGTCGTTCATTTTTTTCGAACCGAAAATTCTTTTTTTTTTAAACCAGAAGACTTCCCCTTTTTCTTTCTTTGTTTTTTCTACAAGTCCTCCTTCGTGTCGCTCATTTCACGGGCTGTTTTATCCCCCTAGAAAATAAATTCGTCGAAGCTGGCAGTGTCAAGCTTTAGTGTGGAAATTTTCCTGCATTTGATTGGATGATGCTGGCAAGGAGAAAGAGAGCGAATACAGAAATAAGCTGGTGGGTAGGAAAATTACATTTGCAGCACCATCTACGTACGCACATATCCAACTCGACATCTACATTTTTCTTGTGTATGTAGTCTTCAATACGTGCACCTTTAACCATCGGCTCCTCAGTTTTAACCACATTCTTTACGCTCTCATCACTGTGTCCTTCTTTCCCTCCTTCCCTCCTTTCTTCCCTCCTTCCTTTTTTTCGTCCCTCCCTCCTTCCTTACCCGACAATAATGCCAAAGATACCCAATGCCGAGGCAAAAATTTCCACAATCAAAATTTTCACGAAGAGCGAACCGTCCTGCCGAAACGCAAGAATAAAAACGGGGGAGGAGGGGCGGGAGGAAGGAAAAGTGAAGGACTCGATGCCATCGCCAGCGACCATGTCAGCGCAAATAGAGGAAGGGATCAGGAGGCGATGGCCCCACATTGCTTGTAACGTTTTTCTACACCTTCCACGACAGTCACAGAATTTTCATCCCGCTCAGACGGCTGGCTCATTCTGTCCGTGCTCACACCGTCCCTCCCCCACATTCCCTCCCTTTCCCACCCTCCCCCACATTCCCTCCCTTTCCCACCTGTGCATCCGCAAGAGCGCACGAAGACCCGGCAATCCCCACTGCCACTCCCGACGCGATATTCGTCATTCCGACCGAGACGCCGGAGAAAAACATGGCAAAGCCTACCAGGGAGGGAGGGAGGGAGGGTGAGAGGGAGGGGACGAGGGAGAGGCACGGACCCCTTGTTAGAGGTAGGAGCGGGCGTGACTCTCTATGTGCCTGCCCTCTGGATCCCTCCCCAACTCCTCCCCTTCTCCTCTCCTCCCTCGCTTCCTCCCTCCCTCCCTTCCTTCTAGAACTTTCTTTCCCACCTGCATGGTACATATTAGCCCAGTCCCACGTGGCTGGGTCGAAGGTGTAGGTGCCGGAGGGAGCTGACACCTGAGGGAGGGGGGGAGGGAGACAGGG